TTTTATTTTTTGGACCATTTCTCGATTTATTTATTTATTTATTTATTTTGAGAAGTTGTAACTTTATATTCAATGAAAATTTGAGGCCGCAGCCCTTACAATTCAACCCGGAAGTCACCAATGAATCGTGCTGGAAACCGGGTCCAGCGTCCCCTCCGCATTCTACTCCCAAAAGGCTACTCTCAAAAACTTCTCAAAAACATTAACCTTGAAGTTCAGCAAAAGACGGGCGGACTAGAAATGTATAACTTTACTACCCCTCAGCCTGTGATAACGAGTTAAAACTACCAAAACCATTGGCTTGAAGGCTCAAGGTTTACGAAGGTAGGCTTTAGAAAGGCTCCAAAGAGGAAAGGAAAGGAGCTATCTGACTCGGAGCGAAATATTTTTTCATGTGTCTAAAACGGCCTTTATCCTGTAAACCAAACCAGAATTGTAAGCCTACATCGTCTTCGAAGTTAACCAAATGGAGAGAACAGGTTGGCCAAACGGACCAGGTTTCACCAAACTGTGTCTGGCACCCCATGTCTTCCAAAACCAGTCTGCTCCTTTCCGAACTTGACCACCCTTGGCTTTGCGTTACCAATCTGACCAGACGCATTGGCGAATCAGAGTCCTCATAACGGCTTTAAGTTGCACATCTTCACAAGGTTCTTGGCGAAAGACATGTTGGTTTCTTTCGAGCCAAATAGTAGTCATGATGATGGCTCGACAAGTCTGAGCCACGTAGCAGGTTGAGGAGTCTTCCCTGCAGGCAGTCGTCGGAATGCCAGATAGAGTGAACTCCTTTGTCCACACGAAGGAGGACCAAGGTAATCTTGCCCAATGTCTATGCCACCAGGACCATATACGCGTTAAGAATGGGCAATTTATCCAAAGATGCCGGTTAGTTTTCCATGCCCATTGACAACGAGCACAGGTTGTGGGTACTTCCATCCCTCTGGCTACCAGATTGCTGAGTTTTTCAAAGGGAAGAGTCTTCAAAAGCTGCCAATGCTTCATTTGGTTATCTTTGGCATACTCAATCAGTGACAACTCTTGTTTTTGTTTACTCAACCACTTGAAGGGGCTACAAGTTGAAAGCTCCCTAAGAAAGTTCGTACCGAACTTGGAGGTATAGGAATCCATGGACTGAACAACTTCCCGGTTCTGAACCGATATAGTCCAAAACCATCTAGTGGTATCAAGTCTGAGGCTAACAAGTGGCGTTCCCCTGTGCCTCAATACTGTGTGGGCAACCCCATGCCTGTCCAAACGTGACTCTACTCTACACTCATTTGCCTCCGGTGTAGTGGTGAGAATACCTTTTGTCTCAAATCGTAATGACCATGTTTCCATCCAGTCGGCATCAGCAGTCCAGATCTGAAAGATCGGAGATTTATGAGCCTCCTGCTCAATCAGTCTACAAACCGTGCAGCACAGGTCCGTTCTCCATAGACAGTACCACTTGTTTAACTCCAGAGGTGCTTCTGCCTCCAGCAGAGTCACCTAATGAGGTGGGACTGCATCATGTAAGCATTGTAGCTTAGCCCCTGCATCTCTCAAGTAAGGCTACCGACTTCTCAACTCAGCCTCAGTTAACCAACCATAATTGTTTGTCTGCCTGATGTCCTTAATTTGAACGATACCCTTTTCTATTCATAGTCTTCCAAAATTACCAGGCCTGTCTGCAGCTGAAAATGGGGCTCCATCCTTATCTAGCAGGTATTGATTTTTCAAAAGCAGTTCTCCTAAGACTTCTGCCTTCGACGACGGCTCTTTATGTTTTGTTGGCTTCAACTTTTTCCAGGCGTGCATCACGACGTTCCAGAAGACTGATTTCGGTTGCAAACAGGCGACCGAAATCAGTCTTCTGGAGCGCCGTGATGCAGAGGAGTGGGGCATGTGTGTGTGTGTGTGTGTGTGTGAGTGTGTGTGTGTGTGTGTGCACGCGCATGGTGGGTGGCAGGGGGGTGGGGCGACCCCTCCCCAAACACTCACTCACTCAATCAATCAATCAGACTTTAACTGTTTTATCTGGTGCCCCTTTTTTGAGGGCGAACAAGACACTATTTAGGGCTGCTCAATCAATCCCCTGGGTTGCAGGGCAATCAATGCTGGCAGACCTCACAGTCACTGTTCTCATTGTTCTCAGACATTCTCATTTTCTGTATATGGGACGCTGGACCCGTTTTCCCGCAGGTGATGCTCCCCACCAATAGATGGAGCCTCCGAGTCCCTGCTGGTGTTAGTGGTGTCTGCTCTTATCAGCAACACTAACACTGGCGGGGAGAGTGTTKTTTAAAAAAAAAAAAAAAAAATAAAAAAAAATCAATCAACGAAAAAAAAAAAGAAGCAAAATCGAATGAATCTTCCGATAGAACATGCAAATATACTAAACTTCGTGTGTGTGTGTGTGTGTGGGCCTGTTGGGAGTGAGGGGGCGACCCCGCCCCCACCAATCAATCAATCAATCAATAAATCAATCAATCAATCAATCAATCAATCAACCAACCAATCAATCAATCAATCAATCAATCAATCAACCAATCAACCAACCAACCAACCAACCAACCAACCAAAAAACCAAAAAACCAATCAATCAATCAATCCATCAACGGGGGGGTGGGGCGACCCTCCCCACCAATCAATCAATCAATCAATCAATCAATAAATCAACAAGAAAAAAAAAAAAAAAACATTTTTTTTTTCAATTTACTTCTCTCACGGCCAAACCCACCCCCACCAAAAAAATTGTTTTTTTTTTTAATTCTTTTTTGCTTGAGGAGGTGGGGCTGGGGTTGCGCCACCCCATGGCGCTTCCCGAATCCCCAACCCCCCTCCCCACCGGCTGCACCACGTCTGCGAAATCACACAGCCGCGCGAACGCGCCCACGGGGTTGCAGACTCTACCGCGCTTGTCCACCGCCGAGGGGGATTCATAGTCTGACAGCAGGCTGAGTGGGTTATACTGGTTCAGAAAAACTTGGTGCTTGCGCGACAAAATGGCATCCGTAGATGACGGAAGATTGAGGCTGAAAGATTGGTTATTTAAGAATTAGACTCGTAATTTCAACCTGTACGCTCAATTGCAGGTTCGGTCACAGGAGACAGGCAGGGAGGTAGGAGCTGGAGGGAGCGTCTTAGGAAAACAGTTGGCAGTCTTATACTGAGACTACCACCGGTTTAGGTGGATATAGCAACCGTTAGGAATAGAAGGTAACTATATAACTTTTAAGTAGAGTGAAGTGAGTCTGTCCTTTAGTACAAGATAAGTCTATGTTGAATAGAGGTAGGATAGACCTGTGTGTTTCTTTTAGTCCATGAGGATACACTTTGTTCGATTTAGGGGTAATAAGTTGGGTTTGTTGGGCTTTGTTGGCCGTGTAGGCATTGTTTCTTTGTTTCCCCTTTTTTCTAGGGTCGTGGATAAGTTAGGGCAGCGGTCCGTGTGTTGGCCATTTCTGTTCCTAGACATATAACTCCCGGCACCTTTCCTTTCTGAGGACTCATACGGCTACCCCAAATCCACAAAATATGCGGATTTGGGAAGGGCCTATTTGAGGTTCTGGGCATGGTTCACGTCACATTGTTACATGCACAGATATGCCATGTACGTAATAACCAAGGAACTGCAATGTGATGAAAAGGACTGAATGGACAATACAGTGCGAGTAGAGTCTCGACAGACAATGTGCATTCTCATACATACAAAAGGTGCTGAATAGCGCAGGGAAGACTTTGATAGTACAAAGACTGACCTGACATGACTGACCTCATTCACGTAGTTCAGAGTAGCGAAGCAGAATGCTAGAGTACTATTAACTAGCCCCATCAATGTTTAAACTCAGACTAAACATGCATGGTATCCATCACCAAGTGTGAAGGAGTCTGGCGCTGTACACAAGATGAAAGCGCGAGGTCCAGACATACATAGACGAAGAGATAAGGATCAAACGAAAGGAGGGTGAAGGATGGGAATGTCGCTAACACCAAGTCTTGGTCACCAATCCCAAATAGTCCCTCGTTGCCATGTCTGAACCCCCAAAAGTCGAGTCTGGATCAAATGTCACCAAGCTCTGTATCTCTTCTCTCATAGTCTCCAGATGCAGTGAAGTCAGAAGTTGAGAGGGAGAGAAGAGATGGTGGACTGAGAAGAGGAAGAGGAAGAACTCTCTCTCTCTCTCTCTCTGTTACGAACCAGATACTAACATGTGATGTTGGCGCTGTGCTGCAGGTACATCGAAGACGAAGCTGGAGCAACGGCGCTGCAGGCAGGTACCTCTGGCCTCCGCCCAAGCCCTCTCTCTCTCTCTAGTACTACCTGGCTATGGCGCCCAGCGCTGGAGACTACAGCTACCTACTGCGCCCAGCGCTGAAGACTACAAGCTAACGCTACTACTACTACACTGCAGCGCTCCCTCCAGAGTGCTGCTCCCGAATCTAGAAGACTACAACTGCCGACTGCCTACCTCGGAAGTGCCTGGGAAGTCCTATGTACTACCTCGGCCTGCCTCCTGACTACTGGAGGGCGAGTCAGGCCAAGGAGGCAACTCTTGCCAATGCCGAAGTGTGCCAGGGGCTGGCATGCAGCAGCCTGCTGAGCCTGGCATGGGAATTAGACTAATAATAGTCTGTTCTCGAAACCCTGGTTCGGTGCCTGAGTTTCAGGGCCGGCCGTTCTGATAAACGACCGAAAATTGAACTTCGTTTCAGGCTAAAAAGGCTGTTGCCATTTTTAGTCGAAAACGACACAGGGATAGGCCCTCGAATTCAGGCTTTTGGGCTGAACCGACATGGGGTCTGTAAGCCCTGGATTTCAGGCTTTCGGCCTGAAGTTCAGGCTTTTGGCCTAAAGAATGGAGGCCTGCAAAATGGTCGCGTGTGCACGCGCAGCATGTAACACCCCCCCCTCCTTATGAAGTCAAGCCGGGACGACGGCGAAGCTGTCGATCTGAAGATGGAACCTGGACGCGGGCGCGGCGTGGAGCCGAAGAAACCGGCTTGCCTTGCATCTTGCGTTCGTAGCGTGCGAGAACGTATGGAGTTGTTGCTTGAAATCCGCACGGGTTAACCATCGGTCAGCTAGGTGTGTGCAGTATGCAAAATGCACCAAATGTAGCGATCGTTCGGCCGGATCGAGATTTGATGATATCCTGATTTCAAATCGAACTTGGAAAAATACTTCGCACCGCCTAGTCGCTCGAGAAGATCGTCGATGCGAGGAAGAGGCCCCGCATTCTTGACGGTTTGCGCGTTGAGCTTGCGGTAGTCGATGCACAATCGTAGATCCTTGTTCTTCTTCCTGACGAAGAGAACTGGTGCTCCATATGGGGAGCTACTCGGGCAGATCCAGCCCTTGGCCAACAAATCGTCGAGTTGTGCGCGGAGTACCTCAAGCTCCTCCTCGCTCATCCGATAGATGCAACCTTTCGGCGGCACGGCACCGGCCTTAAGAATGATCTCGTGAGAGATCGGCCGATCCGGCACCACACCGGTAGGTGACTCGAAGATGTCGGCGAACTCGTCCAGCAACCGCACCACACGGGGGTCCGAAGACAAGTCCGTGGGTGAAGAGTCGGCTACCGCGACGGTCCGTAGGAAACATAGGTCGATCTCCTCGGGCTGCTCATAAGCGCAAGTCGCCCGGAATGATTTGGCCGTCACCACTTGGCACCGGATCGAAGGGTGCGGTAGAGGAATAGTACACGCCACTTCCGCGTCGAAGGCGTCGCGAACGCTAAGAGTCCACCGATGGACGTTGACCGTGTGATCCGCACTTGCAAGCCAAGGCATTCCCAGAATGATGTCGAAGTCCATATCGAGAATATCGAATGTTACCTGTTCGCATGCATGAGGTGCGAAGTAGACCGGTACGGCCTCGATGTAACGGTCAAGAAGTTGCTGCGTCTTTCCATCCGCCAACTTGATCGCCGTCGGGTTTGCCTTCTTCCGAAGTTGTGCGCCAAGGCCAACCCTTTGCATAAAGGATTGGCTCATGAAGTTGCGAGTCGCGCCGCTATCCAGCAAAGTGTTGTAGGACGCTTGGCCAACCTGGATGCGGACATACATGAGCGGTGCATTGTTGTTATCGTACCGCTGCGTGCGAAACTCGCGGGCCACCTTGGTAGTATATGCCAGGATGTCCCCCACCGCGACTTCATCATCCGTTGGTGAAGTTGGTCGTGCATAGAAGGAAAGGTAAGTGTGGAGATGAGCGCTAAGTGTTGCGCATTGCGGTCCCGGCAAACAGTCCGTGGTCGGGAGAGGAAGCCATGCAAAGTCCTCAGACGTGAGCGGGTCCACTGCCTCTATATTGAACTCGCGCGCCGAATCCCATGACGAACCACTTGAAGACGATATGTCGCTGTTGCCGGACGGAGAAGAAACTACACACACTCCTTGTCCTTAAGCTTGAGTACCCAGTGTTGGAACGAGTCGGGCAGCATAGTCCTCAAAAGAAAGTAGAAGCAGAGGACTGTCGACTTCCGCGTGCGCCTCGGAATGAAGGCTGGTTACTCGCGAAGAAACCAGTTCCGAAGGCGTCGAGAGTGTCGTCGCGTCACTCTCGGCGGTGCTCAGTTTTCCTGTCTGCCCTTGCCTTTCAATGGGCAACCCTCCGTATGATGAAGATCGTTGTTGCACCAAAGGCAATAGTGGAATCTCTCGCGCGCCTTGTATCAAGTTGTATGCGGACTCGGAGATGCCATACGGGGTCCATGGACCTGTCTTAGCTGCTGCAACGGGCCCAGGGCTAGAAACGGTGCGTGTCTTCGTCTTGCTGCGTCCTCGGCCTCTGCCGGGGCGACCACCTTCCCGGGCGGCTGCGAATCTGTCCCCTTCACTGGCAGACACAGCCTCGTTGGTTTGGTCTAACGGCGCTGCCGCTGCAACCACGGCCACTCTTGGCCGATGCTGGTCCCTGCTCGGGCCTGACGCAGATGAACGGAGGTTTTTGGCCTCCTTGTTCGTGACGATGATCTGCGCAGCCTTGTCAAATAATTCCGCCGTCGTCGTCAAGGTGTCCTCGACATGCGTCAGGGCATTGCTCAATGTCGGACATGACCTCGAGATGAAGTAGTGGCGGATGGGCTTGAAGCCCATTTGGATGTCTAGGTCTGACGTCAAGCGTTGGTACTCGGCGATCCAGTCTGTACTCGGCAGCGTGCCTTGCTCGAAGACCATGAGCTTGTCCATGGCTTTGATCTCTGGCGGCTCCACCTGGAACCGCTTGTGCCACGCCGCCTTTAGATCATCCCAACTGATCTTGGTGTGCAAGTCGGCCGCTACTTCTCCGTAATTTGACAAGAGGTTGTCCAACCAAGCCTGGTACGCGCCCCCTGAGCGAGAGTACAAGTAGGCGTGATGCTTGTGTTCCTTGACGTTGGACAGCTGCAGCGTGAGCTCGAACTTGTGAAACCATGGAATCGGATCTGTCTTCATAGAGTCGCAGAAGATCTCCTGCCCGTCAAACTTTGGAGTTGTCTCGCGCGGCTCCGTACTCGAGGTAATGGTGGTGGTACAGACCCGCTGCTGCAACTATTGCGTCGCGGTGAGCTGTAACTGTGCACCATCCTGGAGTGAGCCGACGTGCATCTCCAATGCATTGAGGCGGTCGGCAGTATTGGAAGAGCCTGCATCAGCGGCGGCGACTGGTCGCTGCTCCAACTGCTGAAAACGGTCTTGGAGGTGAGCTAGCGATCTGTCGGGAACTGCCGACTGCCTACCTCGGAAGTGCCTGGGAAGTCCTATGTACTACCTCGGCCTGCCTCCTGACTACTAGAGGGCGAGTCAGGCCGAGGAGGCAGCTCTTGGCAATGCCGAAGTGTGTCAGGGCTGGCGTGCAGCAGCCTGCTGAGGCTGGCGTGGGAAACAGACTAATAATATTCTGTTCCCGAAACCCTGGTTCGGTGCCTGAGTTTCAGGGCCGGTCGTTTTGATGAACGACCGAAAATGGCCCTTCGTTTCAGGCCAAAAAGGCTGTTGCCATTTTTAGTCTGAAACGACACAGGGATAGGCCCTGGAATTCAGGCTTTCGGGCTGAACCGACATGGGGCCTGTAAGCCCTGTATTTCAGGCTTTCGGCCTGAAATTCAGGCTTTCGGCCTGAAATTCAGGCTTTCGGCCTGAAGTTCAGGCTTTTGGCCTGAAGTTCAGGCTTTTCGCCTGAAGGACGCAGGCCTGCAAAATGGCCTGCGTGTGCACGCGCATCATGTAACACACTGCTGTACCTTTTCAGATGGGACAAGGTCGCGGCCGTCTGGAGAAATGGGGATTTGGTACTCGACTGGTCACACGGCGCCATCCACCAATTGTGCAAGAACTTTTGTGAACGAATTTTTGTCAAATTTTGAAGAAAATGCAAAAACAAAAAAAGGGAATTTGCGGAGGTGACCGCAAAATCCCTTGCCCCGCGGCTTCCCAGGCCACTGAAAAATGGGCAGTGGAATAGTACATTTGTGAATTTGGTAGATCCGTGTGACCGGCATTTTCCCCTTTTTTTTGGGATTTTGGGATTATAGGTCCCCGTGTGAGTATGCCCTGAGCTGGGCTGTGGCCCAGTACTGTTCTTTCATTCCGGGTTGTTTTGTTTGAGGGATTCCCAGCCTCAATTAGTTTTGAAATGCAGTAAAAACTAAAGCTAGAAGAATAGTTGCTGAACTTCGTATAATGATTAAAAAAAAATTAAAAAAAATTCCCCTGCCCCGCGGCTTCCTAGGGCCGCTGACAAATGTACATTTGCGAATTTGGTAGATCCATAAGACCGGCCTTTTCCCCTTTTTTTGGGGATTTTGGGAAGTTATGCCGTGATACCCCTCAAATCCGATCCCTCCCCGGGCGTGGTCCCACTAGCAAAGAGGATCGGATCGAATGCCTGAATCTGGACGTAATTTTGGAGAGGTGCAGGAAATCGAGATTGATCTGTTTTTCTGCTCCTCTGCATAAAACACATCCAGATTCATGTTCTTGATTCTATCCTCTTTGCTAGTGGGACCTCGGCCCTGAGCGTCGCCGACAACATACCCTGGAGGAAGGGGGAGTTTTTGACCCAAAAACAAAACAAAAAATCGCTACACTCCTCACCCTACACATGCATTTGGACACTTTCACTTCGACATAATTTTGAATGTAAACGATCCCTAAAAGCGTCGAAATACATGACGAGTGTTGCATAGTGGAGCGCTGGTGCTGACTTTGACTCTGACACAATCCAAAGGCTACGTAACTAATGGAGAAAAAAGATGTAGAGTTCGAACAAAAGACAACGGCCACTTTCTCTGCAGAGGAGACAGACACACTCAATGGTGCATGCTTTCTTTCAATCTTTATTAGTTTGGTGGATAACTTGTCCACCGTTGTCTGGTGGGCATGATGATGTCTTCATAGGAGTCAATGGTGAGCTTGATATCTTGACATGTGGAGGAGGAGGACAAACGCAAGGAGCGATTGATCGCTGATTAATCTATGGTGAGCTTGACATTTCTTTATAGGCGTCAGTGGTGAGCTTGACCGTTGATTAATCTGTTGATGATTTATCGCTTGGAGTGTTGACTGGTGGATCGATTGGTTGTTTGGTTCGATCCACTAATCGGTCGATTACCACGGTTCCATCCACTGATCAATTATATGGAAAAAGGCTTGCCTACCTTCTTCTCCGTTCGCTTTGAAGCCGAAATTCAGGCTTGCGAGCCACGCTGCTGCACAGACAGGAGCGTCTCCATGGACGTCAATGATGTTCATGTCATGGCCATTCAATGACAACCACCGACGATCAAAGAGAGAGAAGGAGAGAGAGAGAGAGAGAGAGAGAGAGAGAGAGAGAGAGAGAGAGAGAGAGAGAGAGAGAGAGAGAGAGAGAGAGAGAACAACACACAGTCTTGATTTTGCATTCGTACACCATTCCACAACATCCGATGTATTGCAGCAACAAATTGTGTACTGGCTGCTGCTACGTCCTGGCATAGGCTATTCCGGAGCGAAGTTCAATCATTTCAATAAATGGACGATGAATATGGAAAGAGGGTAATGGGGGTAGAAGGGACAAACCTGCCAGGCAAGAGAGGGAAGTATACTACTTCAAACGCCTCCGCGTTTTTTTCATTTTTTTTTTCTTATTTCTTTTGTGTGCGGCATTTCTGAGCTGCAGAGGAACGAAAAGCTTGTGAGGGGCTTTCAGGTCTAAAGGGGTGATTCGGCTCGCATGCATCTCCAAACGGGGACAACAAACGATATTCAGGTCAACGTGAAAGGAAAAGCGACTGCACCTCTAAACTGACTATACAGAGGTGAAGGCACGGATGGCTTGTGATATATGTAGGCAGGAGGACGAGGAGGACAACTACATGGTAGGCAAGGAGGAGGACAAAGGCAAGGATGACGAAGGCCTGGAGGAGGAGGCATGCCACGA